TATTTTGCACTAATTATTTCGTTACATTTCGTTTACATTTTACGTTCACTCCAAATTGCGGCGTTCAAAGGTGGCCGCCATTTTCGTTTGTTGGTCGTGTTTTGACATAATATATATGTACATATATGGGTGTATGAGTCTAACCTGTCAACTAGAAAAGGTGTTAACATTGCGCCTGCGCAAGTGCTGAGTGAAGCGCGTTAAAAATGTCGGTGGAAGAAAAGTTAAATAAAACCATCAAGAGCCTTTGTTGTTAGGCCAATCCGACACATTGTAGTCGCAGTGTTTACCAGATCGCTTGCTTTGCTGTCGCCTTTCGAAAATGTGGGCGTGGGATTGTCTTCTAAAACGGGTGTGGGCTCAGAAAAGTCACTTACGAAAAAATAAAGTTATAAAATTGGGAGTGAAATAACTGTTCACACATACATACATATGTAAGTGAATGTAAAGTGCACTTGTTGCTTGAAAATGTCAAATTATTATGCAACAACAACAAGAAAACCAATTCTTATTATGTATATTTGTTAAAACAGCTTAATTTAAATTTTTCTTACTTCTTCTCCCTTCTTCCTCTCTTGCGGTTACTCTTGAAGCTTTGTGGGCTTTAATCCACTGACGCGCTCCCTTGCTCGCCCAAAGAGGCATCGAGACAACGTCAAACCTATAAACCGACCAACCCACTGCGCTGCAATGACAACAACAGCCACAGCACAAACAATCACATCAGCAGCATCTGCAAAAACAAAGAAGGAGACGCGAAGTGCGGCAAAGCGCCTCAAATGAGGCATGAAAGAATTCACAGTCACATTTGAGCGAAACCACCAAAGCTGTTGACCCACTTAAATGTTGCATGTGGCAATAACAACAACAACAACAGCGACGAAAAGCAAAAGCAATCGATATGCATGCCACACACCTTTGAACGTCCCGCAATGGTGGCTTGTGTTGAGCGCCCAAAGTAAACCAAATGCAACAGCGCCAACACGTTGCACGTTGCATGCTTGTCCTGAAGCGATACTTGCGCCTTTATGTTTACTTTTCAAAGGTGGCAACAGAAACGAGTACTTCCAAGCCAAGCGCAGAATAGGTTTCTCAAGTGTTTAATGCACTTTTAGGTGCTCAGCGCGCACACACATACACGACGCACGTTCACAGTGTCACACAAATACATGCACAGCAATGGGCTAGAAATTAGCGCGAGGTCTAAAAAATATGTGTTGCATGCAACATGCATTGGTGGTGCTGCGTTATTTGGTGGACGCTAAATGGGCTCTCAGAGCTTTGTTAAGTTTTTGTTATTTTTGTTGTTGTTGCATTTACTTTTTTTTTGGGTTTTTTGTTTTTTGAGAAAGCGTCTACAATTCTGATGACTTATTTGATGCATTTTCACTGTTATGGCAGTGCGACAGGCGTAAATTGGTCAAGGAAGCAGTAAGGTGTTTTTCTTTTCACATTATTGCACATATGAATAACCCCATATTTGTTGTTGGGATTTTTTCAGAGTAATTTTTATTTCAAAATTTCCTTTCATCCTTAAGTCCAGTTGGTTTTTTTCTCATTAAAAATTGCGTAATTCTGCTCTTTACCGATGAGTGCTGTCTACTTTGAAGAACTTTAAGGGATGGCACGGCCATTACAAAAGCGAAACATTTGCACTACTTTTAAGAACAATTTTTAAGGTATCACAGGCTGTGTGCTTTGATACCTAATATAGAATTATGGGTGGCCATAGTTGACGGTTCAGTAAAGTTACTGTCTTGCCACTCCAAACGTGTTGTTATTTTACTTGAATCGTTGCAAGGCTTTGTAGTGTTAATTGTTGCAAGTGAAAGGTGCATGCAACTGTGAGCGACAGGTCATTAGAACGTAACGCCATACAACGCAGGTATCGATTTAAGAATTAAAAAATACCGATTAGACCACACTGGGTTTTAGGGGAAGTTAAATGCTTTTGAACACCACAAGATATACACTAACAACTACAACAGACGAGAAAAGTGTTAATAAACAATGCGTAAATTACACTGCTAATAGTTGCTGCATGCTGCGCCTAATCAGTCGCATCGCGCTTTGAAGCCGCCACTACAATGTGGCAAGCGATGTGTGTGGACACACGAAGCGTGAAGCGGTTAATGATTCTTTGATGCAACGTCTATTGCTGTCGCAGTGTTATCTGCCTCGACTTAAGTGTGTGAAACTCGTTCGCTTTGTGTACCCTAGGTGCCGCCTCGGAATGGCTACGTAATTGAGAATGTGCTAGACAAGTGTCAGCTGCGTAAATGTGTGGATGCCACAGTGATTTGTGGCCAGCAATTTGCAACTGTGATGCAGGGATTAGCGGCGGCGACATTAACTTTTACGATCTATGATTTTTTCAGTAATAACTTGCTCTTCCTCAGCGGCTAGATTAGACACAGGCTGCAGCGCTCGTAAGGAAGCTTATGGGTCTCGCGATAAGCACCTGAAGTGGTCAATAAAAAGCAAATCGTCGTTAATTGCCTGGCGCGCCTGGACCGCCGACTAAAGCATGGGAAATTTTATGTTGCGCTTGCCAAATGAGAGGGCAAAAAACTGTCGTTAACGAGAAAATCTTTCGGATTGCGGTAAATCAAAAACACCAACAAAAAATAATTTCCACAATAATTTTTGTAGTTAATGACATGCATATATGTTTATAAATAATATTTGGTTGAAAAGCATTTTTATCGCCACCAAATTGCCAGCAATAGCGCCCCGCATGCAACGTGCCGGGGGAATTGATTCTCCGAGTGTCGCAATTAAACGTATGACAGCATCCTGCTGCATCTAATAAGGTCTGGAAAAGTAAAACCAAAAATCCTGCATTGCCATGTGTGGACAACAACCTTCAGTGCAATTACACACAAGCAGGTCATTGGAGCAACTTTCTTCGAAGGCCGACGAAGCAGCGCACGTCACGCCGAGGAAATTGGGCAAAAACACCGCACGTTAAATGAATTCAAAGTGTGTGTGTATGCTCTGGGAACAACCGTCGCCACCGCTGACGCAACCGCCTGCGTTTGTATGGCAAGTGTGGCAAGTGCGGCATTCCGCCACCGACTTTCATTTCCAATGGAACGCGCCCATCAGAATGCGCGGCTGTGACGTGTTGTCTCGCCAAATCAAGTTGCAAGCAGACGTTGCAAAAACAGGAAAAATAATACACAAACTCACCCGACGAGTCGTGTTGTACGCCTGTGTGCGCAACGAACGAAGGCACAACAAATTGGTTTCTTTTCTTACTCAATTTGCTTTAATGGTCGACTGGTCCATGTAGATTTGGCGTGCCATAAGGAAAAGGTCAATAATTCTCGGTGGCATAAATAAAACCAAAGTATCAATAATAAATCATAACAGTTGCCGGCGCTGCATCAGTTAGAAAAGGCTGCTTAAAGACACGGGGCAGAGTCGCTTAGCGGCAGAAGGTGGCCAAATATTTTCTCAGCCATTTTGGGTCAACGGCGATAGTCTTGGGTTTTTGTTTCACGAGCTACTGTCGTTGAGCAAAAGCATTGCAAAGTTGAAATATGCATTGTGGCATTGTGCTGCATGTTGCATGCCTCCAGTCAGCGGCATAACAAGTCTAATTGGCTATACAGGCGTGCGCTTACATGCGCCAACACAATTGAATTTCCCCAAAACAAAAACTCCACTAAACCCCCCCTGGGCATCGCGAGTGGCTTGGCTGAAGCGTGAATGCAGAGCGAATCGAAAAAGCTTAGTGCCGCTGGCAGCATGCTCACACACGCTGGCGCTTGAATTATACTCGTACGCGTTGCAGCGAAGCAAATTCACTTTCCATTCATGTTGCACTGCTTCAGCAGACGTTGTAGTTTTGGTTTTTGATTTTGGCATTGGTTTCAGTTTCGATTTCGATTTCTTTTCGCTTCGCTGTTGCACCGAAAAAGTTATTTTTACTCGCCACATACATCAAAAGAGCCGACGTTGTACCTATAGCCACACAGTCCATCGCACACAGTGCCACTCAGTGAAGGCTTACTTTCTTTCGAGTTGACAGCACTTGGCTGGATGCTCTGACAAAGGAGTTACAAAAGTAAACACAATACAAGGAAGAGTATTAAGCGAGTTAACAAATTTTAAGAGCTCCAACTCTTTTGGGCCTCTTGTTCCCTTTGACACTAGAAACAGTTTTTAATGACATCACTCGTCGATAACCCCATCAATTGCCCGATATTTAGCACAGCATGGACTTCATTAGTACTAACTATAATACGCTCTAAGAGGGAGTGTAGTTGCTAGGCAATTACGAGAAAGAAGTGATAATGATGTATACATAAGTACTACATATATACATATATTATAAGCGCTTAGTTCACGTTGGAAGGGTGAAATATATACTGCCATTCTTCGAAGAAAGCATTGCACTCATAGAAACTTTTAAACGGGTTTAGAATTTTCTGGTAACTTTCTCAATTTGCAATTTACACACAAGTCAATTCAACTTGAAGTAATTAGTTTGCGCCTTTGTGTAGGCTACGGTTTGTTGTTATTTTGGTTAAACAGTGTAGCACATACACGAACCCCAGATCGCAGGAAATATTCTCACACCGGAAACTAACTAAATGCCTAAAGGTATGCGAAAGAATTGGTAATACATAACTTAATAATCGACGTATACAAAAATTTAGCAATACAACCAAAATATAGACAATAAATAACAACAAAATATTACATATTAACAAGAATTATTAGTCACATAATTATAAGTTTACATTAAGCGTTATAAAATGTGATATATAATACAAATGAAGTGAAGAGTGTGCAAATATTAATTGCATTTACAATTTAGCGCGCAAAATAGCCGCTTAGGCCATTGTCATTGGCAATCGTCACTGAATGCTTAACTTTGAGTAATATTAAAAATAACGCATTCATGCAAAACCCTTTGCACCCCCGCATTTGTAGGTATGCGCGCACGGCGAACGCAGCCGATTATGATCGATGCTCAACACCGTTCGATCAGTTGTGTGGCGGCGTTGTGGGTGCACGCGTCGCGGTGAACATAAAAATTTCTCAGTGCAAGTCAGCAAGGGGGGAAGACAAAGAGCAATAGCTAAAGTCAATTCATCATTATCGCGCTGATAAGCTAGACCATTAGGGAAGCTGATAGCCGCGCAGCGCGTTACTACATTGCAAATCTCAACTTGAACTTGACTGCGTTCGTATCGCTACAATGACCGCAAATAAAATGCGAATGAAGAGCACCATTGCCGCATGTTGCAAATGTGGCAGCGAAAAGCAACGCAGTGATGGTGAACGCACAAGTGAGGAAGGGCACGCGTGTCTGCCACCAAAGACTGCTTCCACGCTGGCGACTGAGCAGCTACTTTTGCCAAACGCCCTAACGCCGGTCGCGTCAATTGCTTCCGCTGATTTAGCGAAGCGCGAGCATACATATTTGTGGCGCATGCCATGGTTCCTTACCGTTATGTCGTGTGTGCAGGTGAAGTACAGCCTTCAAGTGAAAATAATGAAACATTTGCTTTTATTGCGAAAAAGGCGCTTAAGGCAATGCATGTGCGACGGGCGTATGAGCAATACTTTATCGCCCTCGATTTATACGCTGCTCCTCTCTTAACACGTGTGTGCGTGTGTGTGAGAGTGTATGGTAGAACCTAAGAAAGTCATTGCACTCGCTTTGGTCTGTTTTTACTCACTTTCGCTCGCAACTGTTTACACTTAAAGCATATAACACAACAACAACAAAAAGACGGGCAATCAATTTGATTATAATATTAAAGATAAAATCGAATAAAAAAAAATGAAATAAGCAAAATTGCAGAACAGTTCACTTTGAAGTGATTGCGCTGTTATACTTTCGATTGCGTAGGAACGATAAAATCGCAAATGTGGGTGTATGGTTGCGTGTGAAAATGCTGGGGTGGCGGTTCGTTGGGCATGTGTTAGCACAGAATATTTTGCGGTTTTGTGCTTGCCACAAGTACCATATGTAAGTGTATATGAGGCATGCTTATTAGGGTGGAGCTAAAAAAAATTTTTTTTGCTCAGCCTGAGGGTAAAATTTGTATATTATAAAACAAGAAAATTTTTGGAAAATTTTTTTTTTTATTATCCATAGGCAGAACATTCATTCTTAAAGTAAATTTCGAGTTCATTATTGGAGTTTTAAAAAAAGTCTTAAACGACAACGTGATTCTCTTAAGCGTTAAAATAAATGTTGAGTCAAAAACCGTCAAACTCGGCAATTTTTACATAAATGTGAAGAGTTTAAACCAAACAAAATTTTTTTTCGCTCCACCCTAATGCTTATATGGTTTGCCAAAATAAAAAGTGAAAAGAAGCAGAAGTAAATCTAATAATTTAGTTTTGAAACATTTTAGAGATGAGATTGGCCGTTATTCATAACAGCTTTCGATCTGCGTTTGCTTTATTTATTCTTCTCTGCGCCAAGTGTAGTGCGTTTTTTGTTATTGTTGGCTTGTCTCTCGACATTCGAGAAAACAACACACTTGCACAGAAAACCAATGCCTGAAGCCATATCATCTCCTTACACTTGCTCCATATCGCCGTATGAAAATTACAAGCCATGCGTTTGTCAAATCGATTGCGGTTTTGTGATTTCATCAATTATGTCAATGGGTATCCATTTGTTATTGTAAGCTACGAGCAATGCTGCTCATTTTTTAAAACCGCCTTCAAGAGTTTGGTAACGGTATAAGGAAAGGGAGTGGAATAAGATCAATGTTGATAGCACCATAAATGCTTTTTGAGTTGAATCTAAATAAAGTAAAGAATTTGTTTATACCATTCGGTTTTGAAATTAACAGTCGTGCTTATAAAGTATCAGATGTGTTTGTTAAAGTCGTCATATACAACACATCTTTCGAAATACGTTGAGTCGTCTTATAAAAAGTAAAAGATATCCCGTTGAACTCTCAGGGTTCTTTTATCCGCATTATACATTAAGTTAGTCCACGGTCGTTCTGTTGAAGAATTTTTTCAGTGATATTACACAGACATTTGACTTCGTAAGCATACTCGAGCGCTGATTTTCCAATGGTTACTGGATGTTACTTAGATTTTTAATTACACAAAAATATATATAGTAAATTTTCTAAATTTGTGGTAGTTAATATAATATATATATTTGCATTTTGTCTTATGAAACACCACAGCTAACCGTCTACTTCATCGCCAATGACTGTCTCACTCAGCGTTTGATGCTAATTCCTGGACATCCCTACGAAGTCTGGCGCTACTTCACCTACACTTTACTACATTCCGATCTCATGCATCTGCTATTGAACGTGTCATTACAGGCAAGTAAACGATATCAACCTGAAAGTTCACGAAATGATTGCTGAATGTTTCGGCTAATGAAAAAATATGAAATGCAAATTTATCCTACTGTAATTACACAGCTTCACTATTTCTCCAATAATCTTCAAAAAAATAGCTTCTCTCCCCAAGCTCCTCATTTTCTCCATTCTCCCTTTAATTCACAGTGCCTAATTGGCTTTTGTTTGGAGAGCGAGCAGAGTCACTGGCAAGTGGCCATGATTTATGCTGCGGGAGGAATCTCTGGCTCTTTAATCACCACATATTCTCAGCCAAAGTTGTCGTTGCTGGGCGCATCGGCCTGCGTTTACGCGCTGCTGACCAATCATGTGCCGCATCTGGTAATGGTGAGTCGTGGCAATACCTTAATTCTTTATTTTTTAAACCTTTTCATTCGCTAGAATTTTCGTCAACTGCCTTACCGTTATCTGCGCATTGCGTCTCTACTGATTTTGTGTCTCACGGACGTTACGCTCACAGTGTACCATTTTCTGGTCAAGCACAATTTGAACCCGCGTATTTGTGTGGAGGCTCACATTGCCGGCGCTTTGGCCGGCCTCTGCTTCGGTTTTCTGCTCTCCACCGTGATCAGACGTCATTATGCCACCTACTACTGCTTGCTGAGTATATGAAATGAATATAACAATATATGATATATTTCATTGTATATGCGAACATCAGTTTAGGTAATCATTCACGATATAATATCGAAATTTGAGGCCGAATAGCATTAGACTTCATTAGTATTCCGTGCGAATAAACTATTTTTACAATTTCAAAACATTATGAATTTCCTTACTGGGTAAGTGAAAAGTATTTATTACCCAGCAGGTGTAGCCGTGTGATTTGAAGGCCCTGGTTAAGTGTGTACACATATTGGGTTGAAATGAAATCAAATTTAAGCATTTGCCTATACAAAAACTTAACGCCATTTGGCAACCTCAAACTAAAATATTTTAACGACAAAGTGTTTCCTTTATGAACCTGTAACCGCCAACACCCTCCATAATGTCTTTTGCAGAACTTCGGCTTAAGCATTAGAAAATCACAGTATTATGATAACTCATTATATTTATTTTTCTGATTGATTCGCTTCGAACTCAATTAAAATCTCTTACTACTAAGCTTAAGTGACTAATTTTATAAATATATTCTCGCTAAATATACAACTTATACACATACACATTAAAGTTAAAGATAAAATACTCATAAACAAATTGGTCTCACTCTTCACGAAACCAAATGCTTTTGTCTCCGTCTTCTCCTATCAAACTAAAGCTAAAGATCGGGCGCCACCTAGCATACGCCAACTGCGCCGCACTCCGGAATAAATATTCTTACTGCTTCGCGCATGCACTTCTACAACTAATCAATCTTAATTATTATAACCACACATTGCATCCACACGGTCAGTTAACAAGCTAATTGGCCACACTTCACGCCCACCTCGGTGCATTTGCATTCCAAGCACGGGCTGGACAACTCCAATATGATGCGACCAACCCGATACATGCGCCCGTAGATATTGCAGCCGGCCAGCTTGAGCACACCCGACGGATCAATTAAACTGTTTGAGGCGGTTTGTTGTGCTTCCAGTGGATTTGACGCTGCGAGTGCGTCTAAAGCGACTGGTGCCGACGCTGTCGCCGAAATAATTTGTTCGATGTTTCTTTGCACCAAAGGTACACTTGTCGCCGTCGTTGTTGTTGTAGTCGTCCGCTCCGTGGAATTGCTGCTGAATGAAGACGCACCTTGCAGAGCACTTCCGCGTGCCTGTTCCAGCCCTTCGACCTGATTCAGTGAATTCTTATAATACAGCAGGCCCAAAAAGTCACCATCGATGTGTTGTCCGACAACAAATGGACGTTCGGTAGTGCGTTTAACCTCAAAGCTAGTGTCCATAAAGGGCAGCGTATCAAATGGTGAACGCTGCAGCGGTTTGTTTGCGGGCGCCGTGCTTTGTGATACTGTTGGTGGCAGCGGACTGGTAGTGGTATTTCTATTGGGGTTACGCAGAGCCATTGTGTTGTTCATTCGCTTTTGGCTTGCCGCTATAGCGATGGGAGTCTTTGTTGTATGACGGCGTGTCGAGCCCGATTTTGGTCGAGTACTTTTTGGACGCATTGTTGATGAAGTCTTTGTTGTTATGGTAGTGGATGTGGCGCCCGCATGGTTTTTTTGTGTTGCGGGTGTTTTCGGTTTTAGCTTAGGCTTAGTGTTGTTGTTGGCAGCAGTTGCAGTTCCATTCCACTTGCTGAATGCGGGGACCGACGAAGCGATAGAGTTTGTCTTAACAGCAATCCGTTTCGTAGTGTTTGTTGCCGTTGAGTTTATTGGTACTATAGTTGTTGTTGCCACTCTCTTTGGCTTTACAGTTGCAGATGTGGTGGTAATGTTGGGAAAAAGTTCCAGCGAAGCTTGTGGCAAAGTTTTAAAAGGAGGCACTGTACTACTGCTCGGGCTCAAATTATCCGCAGTATGACTCACAGCCGAATCGGGTTCGCCACCCAAAAGTAAGTCCAAAAAGGACGCAATAGTGTTTTTGTGTTCCTCATTTGGCTGTCTCAAATCATTATGTTCATTAATGATTGTGGCGAACATTGTAGGAGGTGGTGACTCATCGTCATTCGCTGACTGTGGTACTGCAGTGGTAATGTGTATAAGAGACTGACTTAGATTCTCGGGGTCTTCAAACAACTTGGGTGGCTGTAGTTGTATGGGCTTGTGAACTAAAATATTGTCCTTATCTTCAATAAGAGAGGTCAGATCGGGCGGCTGTTCAGTTCGAATGACATCCTTAAATGGGTCAGGTGTAGTGATTTCTGCAAAAGAGGCAAATAAACAAAATCAGTTGATCGTAAATTGAATATTATAAATATTTTGAAGAAGTGCTAAGCACATACCAATAACTTTCGTTGAATTCTCTCTGAGTGGGTCACCTGTAGTTATGTCAATCAAATGCTTCGTTACTTGAAAGCCAGTATCCACGTAGGGTACTGTATCGATTTGCTCGTTAACATCGCTTAAAACGAGTGGGTCTTTGGGTACGAAACCACCTTCGGTTTTGGTTGGAGGTGAGAAGCCTTTATGCTCCTCTGTCGCTCCTACAAAATCGTATTTCACAAAAGCTGCTGCCCCTCCACTTGAACCGTCCGACTTACCTGCAGTCGACGACATTACCGGTGCCGATGGACCCTCCACATTGAACTTGTAGATATACTCCGCCTTACTAGCATCTGCTATATCCGGATAGTTGGGAAAGTGTGGCTCAGTAATGGCTGGATATATACTGCCTTCATCATATTGATCATAGTCAATTTTCGCCGTCGGCGCATTGCTGTGATAGTAGTCGTAAAGCGGCTTAGTACGATCAGCTTTCACGGCATCCGTTGGCAGAAAAGGAATTATTTTCAGATTGGGAAGACTGGGTGGTAAAGTGGGTTCAGCGTTGGCGTCGAAAGGATCCGACTCTAATATAGTGGGGTTTGTATTAATTAGTACTGGCTTAAGTGTAGTGCTTGAGGTTGCTGCTGCATTGGTTGTACTAGCAGTAGTTGTTTTTGTCGTCGTTGTCATGCTGCCAGTGGTGGAAGTTGATTTTTCAGTTGTCGTGTTACTGGCTGTTGTGGTAGAAGTGATACTTGTACTGCTCTGAGGTGTTGTTGTGGTGGTCACTGATGCTTGAGTGGACGTTAGCAGAATTGGAGACTTGACCATATGCTCTGGCAAAGGTTTGAAAGCGGTGACATTAGATGGAAGACTCGATTTAGCAATTTCGGCTGTTACAGTTAGATTTGCAATCTTAGAGTTTATTCGCATGGGCGATGGTTTTCCAGTGGGTAGCGGTTTAAATGAGGGCAATGGTTTGGGCTTTGGGGTGGGCAATACAATTGTGTCCTTCGGTTGTATCGTTGTTGTACTTATAATAGTAGATGTGCTGTTCGAGGGCATTTTGTTTTGAGTGGTGTTGAATACATTTTCAGTGCTAAGCATATCGGAAAGACCATCAAGCAGGACAGTCAGAAGACCATTTTTCGTCTTTTCTGTTGAATTTTGTAACTCTGTTTGAGTAATGTTCAGAGGTCGGGGAGTGGTAGTTTTGTGCAACTTCTCGGTTGGCTTTTGCGTTGATTTTGGTTTGAATTTCAATTCAACGGGTTTCTGTGAGGGTTTCGGTGTTGGCTTAGTGGTACTTTGAGTGCGTTTTGCACTGGACTTGGTTGCGGGCCGTTGTGTAGATTTGGGAGCAGGTGTTGTCTTTTTAACGGACACTGTCGGTTGCGAACTTTTCGTAGCATAAGATTTTGTTGTCGCAGCAGTAGTGCTATCAGTTGCTAAATGGGATTCCGTATTGGCTACGGTTAACTCCCCCGCCTTAACTAAATTGGTAACCGAAGTATTATTCAATATCGGCTTTTGTAGTGTGGCGTGCGTCTCTTTGCTAATACTACTTTTATGCAGAACAGAATATTCGGCAAGTGGACCCTCACTCGACTCACTAGATTGTGGTTCGCCCACTATAATCTCACCACTGCCAGAGAAATCTTCGAAGTCTTGATCGATGCGATCGATACTTGTGCTATTAAGGACATTCTGATAATTTTCCGTGGTCTCGGAGATACTCATTCTGTCACCTGCAGTTGTGCCAGTTTGCTTCTGATCATCTTCATCAGGACCCAACAAAATGTCTACCCATGAGAGACCGTCGTACCCCGTAGTTGTTTTCAACTCAGGTGCAACCTCTTCTGTCACTCTTGTAGGCAGTTCATCCTCGTCAGTACCTAGCAGCAAGTCCAAGAAACTGACCTCAGTGGCAGCGTTTTCTGGCACCGTTGATTGAGTGCTTAACTGCGATTCAGTCACGACTTTCGTTAGAGGTGCCAAAGTTTTGATATTTTGTGCAATGACTTCATCATTATTCCCGTCGATGATTTCCAAACCTTCGCGTATTGTGTCTAAAATGCTCTTCTCATCATTCTTCTCCAATATATTTTGATTGTGTGTCACTGTCACCGACGGATGTCTGTCTGGTGGATACTCAGCAGGTATTTTCTTGGTGTCATTGCCATTAACCTCATCTTCTTTGCCGAACAACAATGAAAATAAATTGAATTGACGTGAGCTCTGCGCACGCTGACTGCCACAATCGTAGCTGGATGGACAGCACTGGCCTTTCGGGACCACCGGTATGCAGTTCTTCAGCGCAGGTGAGCATTTCTTTGGTGCACAACGGCGCGTGCCACGTATGCAGAAACAAATGTCACACGGCTTATCCGAATCGGAGCGCATTTTCTGTCCCTCCACGTAGAACTGCTTGTTCACAGTGCAGCCGCGATTGCGCTGCAGACGCTGTGACATGCGTAGGTAATGCTTGTTCGAGGTCTTGCGGTAGCGCACCTCCTGCGATGACTTGCCGGATGGCTTGCTTGTACAGTCGTAGCGCACGGGGCAGCAGGTGGAGTCGACAAAGATGGGCTTACAGCCTTCGACCGGCAGCATACATTTCGGCTTGACGCATTTCTCAGTACCACCTGCAAGAAAAATAGCATAAATAAGCAACGGTGTCGTGGTGAATGCCTCTTAAGGGATCTAATCACTTACCAATACAATAACAGTAGGTGCAGAGGTTTGATGATGACATTGCCGAACCGGATTTGTACACAGTGCCGTTCTTCACGCAAACTGCAAAAAAGCATTGAAAAGCAGAGGATGAAGATAGAATTACATCATAGTAGAAGTTAAGGCGGCGGTTACAGTAATACATTTCACTAAAGCTCACAGATATTTAGAAGACTACGATGTAAGTGTTAATTGAGCACAATTTGGAATTATTGATTACTAAGCTTATGCGAAACTTTTGACTCGAAGTACAATATTTGCTCATTCTGAAAATATGTAGGAAGGAATTTGCAATAAAATCGATTCCTTATGGTTGAAAGGCTTACAAATCGTCCTTGCGTTAAAAAATCTAAAAATCAAATATCGATAAATTTTAGTATTAAATTGGTGAATATTAAATTAATATTTTACTTTACGAGAACAAAATCACTAAAGTCTTTAATTAATTTATTTATTTCAAAGAAAAATAAATATAAATATTTGTTATACTTGTATATACAATATATAAAGCACTGGCTGGTAGAGCCTTCGGCTTAAAAGTCTTAAATTATTCTTTGAATTTATCTTTAAAATGCAGCGCAAATTTAGTCTTTGTATTTATCGATTATTTTATATGCTCTTTTGTCACTAATGCTATACTGTTCGCAAGCCACTACTAACTAAATGACGACTGAAGAAATTTACTCACCATACATATCGACCTCAGAGTCATCGGAGCGCCGTTGCAGCATATTATCGTTTACGACGCGATCAATTGACTCCCGTTCGTAGTGATCCAAGTAAGCGATAATGCGACGCGTCGCCGGTATCTTGTAGAAGGCATCCAGACGCGCGCACGACAGATACGGACAGCAGGCGTTTCGCTGCTGCACCACAATACAACCGCGGGGCGGTGGCATCGGCATTTCGGGACATACCTTCAAACGACAGACGAGCGTCTTCCGCTGGCACTGGCATGTGAGACACTTCTCCACGGTGGGCACGAGTGATCTGTCTGCATACCAAGTGCCATTGTGATGACAGCCTGCAGCAGCACGATCCAAGAGAATACCAAAAGCAACAATAAATGCAATAAAAATGGTTGTAAAAACGGGATTAGCGAACCGGTTGAATTGTTGCAAAGTTAACACATATGCTTGGTAAGTGTGTGTGTGTGTATATGCTTAGATAAGTGTGCGAGTTTGTGCGTGGGGCTGGCAAATTCAAAAGTGACAATGAAAATGCAAGTTAACGCCTCAAAATAGACAGTCAACATGAGCGGTAGCGGGCGGGCGCAAGACAGGCGTTCCAAGTTGGGCAGTAATTATCGCACGAGCATAAACGGTTTGTTTACATGGCGCTCGACTGGCTGCAAGGGAGCGCGGCGGGCTAGCGGAAGCACAAGAAATTCATGTACGACAAAGTAATGGGTTAAGTTTACTGTTTTTGTTGTTGAAATTGATTGTTGTTGTATGTAAAAAGTGTATAGATGCGTCTATGAGTTCGTGTGCGGCTGTAATTTAATTGTCGGCAGCGTCTTCATTTAATTTATATTTAGGTAGCAATTTGTTGTTGTTGTGACGTCTGTCTTCGTTACAGTTTTAATGGACAAGCACGTGAACCAGATGTTACCGCGTTCCAAACATTCAATCTTGTAATTCCAACGAGTGTGTTTTGTCGTTGCATGCGGACACGTGTGTGAGTGAATGCTTGGACACTTATGTATGTATGTATTTGTGCGTTACTAAATATACAAGTATATATATGTTTGTAACTGCATGAGCTTGTGAATATGTTTAAAAATTTCTTTAGATTTTTTAGTCTGATTTTGCTAGAAAATAGCTTATAGCAATTTTACGGTTGATTTTCTCAAATATTGAAAATTCAAAACTTATCCATCATTTGATCATTTACAATCTCAAACCTTTTCAAATGCTATATATTAAGATGGTAGATTTAGGAGTTTCCAAATATTAAATAGTTAACAATGAGAGAAGCGTTTCAAAATGCATTGTATATTCTGAGCGGATACTACTTTCTCTCTAAGGCATGTAAAGCTATTAACTTTTTAGTAACATCTCCAAAAAGCTGTTCGGGACATTTATATGTCCAGTATATGTATATGAGTCGGCACTTTCTACTTCATCTTATATTTTCGTTAATTTCGGCGATTATTTCGGCACGAAGTTTAGGTATTAAGTTTTGCGTCGCTTCGCTTTTCAAATAAGCCACAAAACGCAGTTAAGGGAAACCTATTCTGGATATGGGGTTGGTTATACTCTGTTACCTCTTTCTGATTGGAACGCTTTGGCTGTATTCCAAGCGGCATAGACGTTCGGAATTTTTTCTTACTTTATTGTTCGAAATAAAATGTCGAATACTATTGTCTTAACGTCCATTTTCGACGTAAATCGTCACTATTTCGGTAGGTTGTTTCGATATAAAACACTTTGTGATTAGAATTGAAATAAATTGAAGCTTCCAAATCATGCCTTAATTGTCTTAAGGCAGGCGTGCTAAAGGCTTGTTTTCCTAGAAGACATGTAGATTTGTATAAGATTTATTAATTGCATATAACATAGTTGTACTTCTTTGTGCGAAAAGCCAATAGTGGCGAGTTTTTGCATATATTAATTTTTGGTCCACAAAACCATGAACATCAAGTTAGGTAAAGAAGCTTGTGATAATAATAGCTACAAACAGCAAACAGAGATTTAACTAACCCTTTAAAATGAATCATTAGTCTTTCATTATTGTCACTTCCGTTCACACGCATTTTGAAGCAGCGAAAGTGTTCTTAAACAAAGCCTGAAACTCGCTTTGAATATCACTTTCTCACGATGAACTAGATAAATTAATCTTCCGAATCGCAGTTAATCTCATGAAAATTACGAAATTTTACTTGCTATAAAGATTTGTAGAAATCATTTTAATAAAAACTAATTCCATGGCGTCAACATTTTCCACACACAATTCACACTCAATTCACACTCAAACACATTTCTTCGCATTAACACCAACAACTTAGCGAATAAATCATCGAATTGGGCTTAATGCCCCTAATAACAAAGTCGAAAAAGGCAACAAAGGCCGAAAACACAAAACCGAGACGCACAAGTGGCACACACATTTAAGACGAACTACGAACTCGATTTTAAGCAAATCAAAAATCAAACGAATCGCGGCCGAACTTGCGCCGCAGATAAACTATTAAGCGTACAAAATACTCGACACATGTTTACAGTCTTAAGAACGCGCTGTTGGAAGCGCTTTACGCATTCATTTCGTTTGATAAAAATAAAACAGCTATAACCAACAATAAAGGGAAATTTGTAGGTAGATTCTGAAGTGTTTTGTCTGCCCGCTCAGTGTTAGATCGTTGGGTGAAAGTTGGAACCAAATCAATTCTTTACACCAGCACACACACACCGACACACATTTGCCACTATGAAATAGTGCCAAGCCATAGTGAGGCAGCAGAACAACATAAACTACAACAAACAAAAGACGCTTACGGCTTGGAGTCATTGCTGATCATTTAGAGCGGTGTTGTGTTCAACTATTCTTCTACTGCCTTTCACAAGCACAAACACACTTAGCCACACAGCGTTGCATTCCACGTATGGTGAAGGGCCAACGCGTTGACCCACAGCTGCAACGGGTGTCTTGCTTTCGTGAGTGAGTGGAAAACGTCAGCGCAAACACAGCTTACGAAATTAACGAAGCCTCCTACACAGACGTATGTATGTACATATATGAGAGTGTGTGTCTTCTCTGTATGACCGTGAAAGTCGGCGCCTAATGAATAGAGAAATTATAATTTCGTTCTTAATTTCTGCCTTCATTCGTTAATTTTTCCGCGCAGCTCAGCACTTTTGAGCTGTGGCATGCAACACAACTCATCGCTGGTGAAAATATCTAGACGTAACTGTACGCGTTGGCATGTACTGCTTAATGACCGTCATGCTGGCTGTGACGAGCAAAATGTCAATTGTCCAAAAGCTCACAAATCTCGGCGCTCGTGCATCTCAATGCGGCGGCGCGATAAATACAGTCACAGCACGGGGTTGTTTCTTGAGTCTTTTGTTTGATGACAGATTTTCGATAGTCTGTGTGTGTGTGTGTGCGTAATTACAAACAAATTGCCGTGCGACAATAATGAAGAGTCAACGCGCAGAATGGGAAAGTCAACTCGTTAATGGGAATGAGAAAGCATAGTAGTTTCGGCCATTAAATTCACACTTTGTTTCTTCCGGTAACATGCTCTGCCCGCAAGCCGCCGCAAGAAGCAAGCGGCATCAGTCAACATCATTAGCAAGCAAATCTCTTACACAAACGTATATGTGTTTGTGTACGTGCAGCATTCGAGCCTCACGTTCTCGGTGTCCGCCGCCGCTGCTTGCTACTCTGGGCAAACTTATTGTCAACGCTTTCTACCGCTGTGTCGAAAAACGCTGGAGTTCCTATGACTTTTCCATTGTTATTCAGCGCTTACGACATTTTTCTTCACATTTGTATGTGTATGTATGTGTGTAGTGTACGTCTTCATCAATTCTTACTGCGGCAGTGACATTTTCATTAGTCCGCGCGTCGAATTCATTGGCAACTGATGAAAAACCAGCTACAACTTAATGATGGGTACCGCTTAGAGCCTGCATAATTTTACTCAGTCACTTCTTTTTCACCATTTTATACATTTATGTGCTGTATATTATTATTGTTTTTGTTTGCCTTAACGCAGATTAGCTGTTGATGTATTCGTTATGGCAACAAATTGGCACACAAATTAATTCCCATAATTATGTTTTGTAAGTGAGTGAGCAATTTGCAGAAGTGACTGCAGAATTTCCCCAACAATTTGGTTCTTTCCCAAGGCACTGAGAAGCAAGCTGCGTCGCATGGCAGAAGAAAACTGTATTAAGCAAATTGTTATTATTAATGAAAATGTGATTATTCGCGGGTTGATAAGTGCGGTGGTTAAATGCAGTTGATTGATAGCTAAACGCGCTGAAAAGTGGGTCAAACCTTTTGTCTCTTGGCAGTTCGCTGGTGGATTCCATACTGCATGTTAATGAATATATTTGACTTCTACGTACTTTTGACAGACTCATTTTAGTGAGATAATTACTAGATATTCTTAATAAGGCATCTCCGTTGAAGTTCTTGGTAGAACCGACTTGAGCGAAGGTGCAAAAAGCGAATATTATTCAATATAGCAGAGAGGTATAATTAAGTACTGAAATGCTTATTTTGACAATAAAAATATATAGGTCATGGATTTAATATTGAGCCAGCGGTTGGAGCTTGACTTCTATTCTTTTTTTTTGTTCCCAAAAAAACTCAGTCTGATTGGCCAAATATATTCAAAAAGTTTGCGTTTCTGGGTTGGTTGCGAGTCCCTATCTAACTTTTTTATGTTCTTAAATACTATATTAGATGCTATGGGTTTGACTTCCCTATAAGTAGGACTCAATATTTAAACTCTTTGTAACTTTAAAAGTGTCGAATATTTCTAAGTTATCCCAGCACACAACCACTTTGACTGCAGATGGCTTCAAATTTGGTTACGCCCATAAATTAACTTGTGATACAGGAAACCTCAAGCTGATATTAAACCGGAGTCTAATTTATGCTAAGAAATAGACTTAGATATGCAGCAAAGTTCGATAAAACAACTATTTGCTTTCTCCCTCTTTGCCTAAATACGCAGCAGAGTGGAGTTTTTGGGCCTACTCTTATTGCATTTTAAACTAGATGACTTAATTCAGATGATTTAACTTGCTCAAGTTGTGAGTCTTTCTGTAAATGTTTCGACTCGAAATTTAGGTTCTGAATACCCAAATACCTCAGCAGCAATCAAATATTCGCATAAATTTATGTAGCGTAATCAATTAATTTTGCGTTGAATTTCGAATGAAGTGCTTTGTCGTGAAGACCGCTTGTTCTATTTTGCGAGCTTAGTGAAATTTCTTCTGGCATATTTGCTCGTCTCTATTGATTTGCATACTTTGCTTAGAACTGTGCTATTCACAACTCCAGAATGCTCAAAGCGCCCGCAGCGATTGATGTCAATCACGCTTCATTTCCGTTAGAATTAAGATGCAAAAAAGCCAAGGTATGCTAACTTATGCCACATATTCAGCAGAGTACCAATAATAATTACATGAACAATTTAGCAGGTGAATTGTGTTGAAATGCGATAAAAAGAGGCGACTTTTTAGGTAAATGGTCAGTTGAATGATGCGGGAATTTTAATTCTACCAATTCTATTGAATGCCGTTTGTTTCGCTGGCCCTGATTTGCAGACGAGTGTACAGTGTGTGTGTGTGCAGGTGTGAGTGTGAAACAAAGCGAAATACTTACCCATTGACTGCGCAACAAAAGCGTCCAAGTGAGCGGGCCAAAAGCACAGCAGCGCCAACAGGGCCGCGCCAATGGAACACCGCAACATTTTCGAACAAGTAATATCGAAAAAAGCGAGAAGCGAGGAATCAACGATAGAAATCAGTAGCAACAGTTGCCGGCCGGCACGCGTTGGCCGATGCGAAGGTGCGGTATGCCGTTAGCGTGTTCGAAGCAGCTGATCAAAACAAACGCGTAAAATCTGTGTCACCGGGTGAATTTATCGGCACCTCGGCCAATTCTTGGCGCTCGAGAGCGTTGCGAGGGCGCGTGTAGTGCGTGCAAAAGCTGCGCTGCTCAATCGCTTTCAGCCTGATCGGCGGAGTGCCGGTGCCGAAGTGGACCGGGCCGCGCGTGGTGTGTTCTTCGAGCAGCGGGGCCGCTGAACTGCGTGTGCGTTGATTGTGTAGCTAACGTTGTGTGTTGAATTGGCAATGAAGTGCCGTATGTTGCTTTTATTGTTGTGTGTAATTGCTGTATCGTTTGCCGCAAATTTATGTGGGTGGCTTGGCTGCTGTTTAATTACGATTTATGCATTGATATGGAAATAATTTCACTTTGTTTGTCACAGTTATTGTTGGCATGCCACATAAAGCAATTTGTGTGTACTCCGCACATTTATCTGCAAGTAGAAAACAGGGAAAAAATAAAAATAAAACTCATTAACAAAACTCAAAAACAAAAAAATTTAAAGAAAGTGCGCTGTAGAAAGGCAAGAAGTGAACACTGCGGGCGTTCTACGCTCGCAAATTATCTGCTGAACAAATTTGAATGGAGCAGGTAACAAAGTGGCCAAATGCCACCTGTCGACTAGCACAAGAGCGACTGAAAGAGTTATGAGAAACGTTTGCCAAAACAACGCGAATTCAATTAAATTGTCATTGGTGTCAGTCTGAAGTTTACTTTTGGTTGATTAATTGTTGTTCTTTTAGCAATTAAACAAAATTTTGACTAACTTTGCATATGTGGTAAATTTGTGTGCACCAAGTTAAATTAAATTTTTCGACCGATTTGCAACATTAAAAATTGTATGAAGTGACTTTTGTACCAAGTATATTATAACACTCACATGTGTGACTCCCTTCACATGCTTTTATATTTTAATGTCTCTCGTTGTTTTCCTAAATGAAAACCTCAATAAAAATCCGCATGTCCAGCTGTGTCTGTGCCACAAAGGCAGACAATAGCTATTGACAGTGGCTCACGATCACAGACAGAGATCAGCGCCACAGCATTCAAAATAAACACTGAGGAGTGATTGTTGTGCAAAGTGCCGTTAGCTAATAATAAATACAATAACGTGCAGCAAAAACAATAAAGCGGAAATTAGAGTCGTAATTTCTTTTGCCACTCGTCGCCCAGCAGATGGAATGGATTCTATTGTGTTGTTGTTGCAGTTGCAGCAACTAAACAGCAGAGCGAGAAAATGCTGGAAAACAACAGAAACAACGATCTGCCACACGGCACTGAACTTGAGTGAAGCCAACAGTGGCGAGGCACGAACCAAAGCATGCAACAATGCCAACGGTTTAGTTAATGGCGGTGCAGTGATCGGAAAATGCCGTGCAATGTTTGCACTGCCACTGTCAACCGACAGAACTCGAACAAAGAAGCAGAGCAATGCAACAAACAGCGCCGCTCATAGGCAGGTGCAGCGATTTTATTTTTGTTTCTGTTTCTGCTGCTGCCAGAGCCAAATCACCGCGGAGAATGGTAGTGCAAAATTGTTACTGTTGTGTATACTGCAAGCATAAAGGCACGCATACCGAAGAGTAATATAATAAACATGCAACAACAAAGCTTAGAAATCAAGGTTTGCATTACTAATGAGTGAAAATTTTCACAAGAACGGCAGAATTGCGAGCAGTCAGCACTTTTTAAATGCCTTTTGCTTGGCAACTGCAAACAATAACAACAGACACGTATAAACGAAGTAAGAATTGAGAAAGAGGCTTATAAGAAGTGGCTTAACTGCGGATTGCTCTGCGCCCCAGATGAAGGGGTGTGTCCACTCACTTGTCTACACGCTATCTACTCGTCCACTGAGTTGTCAGTGAAAAGCGGAAGCTCGACTCAGCGCTCCATCCCATATTCGTCCCTTGAGCGCGTCTCAAAATTTACACCAACAACACTAAGCTTGATTTTCATGTGTAAAACGAAAGACTTAAGCAACGAACCCGCGTGTATAGCTAACGATTGCTGGTATGGAGGCGGCAACGGGCGGCAGCGGCAGCGAAATACTGCATTTCTGCTAATTTACGAAATTGTGCGAAATTATGCGGCAATCCGTTAAGCAAACGGCACAAAGCACAATCGTGCAACTCAGGCGTCTCCGCTGGCAAACAATGGCTTGTGTACAAATATTTATGTGTTAGCAGCGGCTGCCAAAGCAGTATTTTAGTTGCAGAGTTATTGTTTTTGTAATTGTTGTTAAACACTTGTTTTTGCGCTAAAATCTGCACCAACAGAATGTCACTTAACTAACTGGAGCAGTAATATAATTTGAAAATTTCAGCATTGCATTTACAGTTATTTGCGTTTTATTTGCTGCACAAAGTCACGGTTAAGTTCTGCAATAATCATTATTAGTAAAATTCTTAGCAAGAATAGTTGCCAATATACCGGTATCAAAATGCGAGTGTATAAATATAGTGCGCCATTTAAAAATGGCTTCGAATCTATTAAAATATCGATTAGTTCTGTCCATCCTGCATACATCTCTGACTGAATATCGAAAGGCTTCTTCTTCTTCCTTCTTCTTTCCATGGCAAACCTACTTTAATACACTTACAATACGCCTCGAAGGGCAATTTTGCAGAACAATGACACGAGCAAAACACCAATCACTCATGTACACCCATACATACATTCCCAAGTAATGCGGTTTGCTTGATTTATTTACTTTTGTTGCGCTCATTTTGCTGTGGTTGGCTGCGCACGCCTACAACACTGCCGCTACGTCGGCTCTATTTGCGCATACAGACTGTACCTAACAGCAACAAGAACACCAAGAAAAAGCTAGTGTAACAAGGCATTCGTTAGTAAATAATTCCTCACTTTGTGGCAATGCGAAAAAGCACTGTAATGGCCGGAGCAGCGAGTGAAAATAGTCAGAAAATACTCGTAGTCAAGATAAGGAAGGCGGAATGGAGAACGAAAAGTTCGAAATTGATTCAAATTTATCGGCACACATTGCGCTTGCCACGAGCTGCAATCACTGCCTCAGTGTCTCCTTTACTGCGGCTGTTCTTATGCGGAGATGTGTACGGCAGCCTGCTGGCCTGGGCCCACATATCGTTGGAAAGGTGCCACAATTCATAGAAGCGCTGTTGTTGCAACTGCTCACGTAAACACTTGCGAGCATCAGTTGGCGCATTGCGCTTCTCCATTCATTCATGCCACATCGACTGTCCGTCCCCAGCACAGGCAGCCGGTACTTTCAGACTGCCAGTGACAGCCAGATCGCCTGTCATCGTGTAATGGTGGGCACTTAGGTTACTTAATACCAATTATTGTCGGCCGATATCTGCAAGTGCTCGTCGTCTGCAAATATGTGAACGCTGCGGCAGCGGCAACTGGTAGTTGTACGTCCAACTACTCAGGCAGAGTCAACAACAAACAGCAATCGCTGCTACGCGTCGTGTGCGCAGCGCCATTTTTCATGTGAAATTCAAGGCAGTCAAATGTCCGTTTTGCGAAGATTATGTGATAAATATTGTGAAACGTGAGCACTTACGCTAATTTAATATTTACGAATTTATTGAATGGCAGTGGGGAAATTGGAGTGAAGTAAAACGGAGAACAAATATTGGCGAATCTGAAATTGTCATAACATGAAATAAATTTCATATTTTTTTAGAGCATTTGAGATGCTCGCTGCTTCATAAATATTTCGATTAAGTGAAACTACCCAATCACAAGCAATATTGACACAGTTTTCTTTTATTGAAGTTAATAGCGAATTTCCTGTAGTTAAGGCTCGTCTATGTTAGGTCGCATTAAATAGAGAGCACTTATAACGTTTCAGTAATTTAATGTTTTGTGTCATTTCCTTATGTGCTAGCAGAGATAACCAATAAGAGCAGAGATATTTAACCATCGGTAACCTCTAAGACCTCTAAGATTGGTGGACATTATTTTTTATAAAGATTTTCTTATAAAATATGAACATTTACCCATATATTGAGTTGAACACATCAGAAACTTTCGAATTTCGAGTTGTGTTGCTTTTTACTATATTTTCTAAAAGGGTGTTCTGAAATCGAAAATTTTTACACTTTCTATATAAAAGTATATTCAGCTTCAAAGTATCCATTTTGAGACATTCAATTCATATTTAATTCTATCATTTATATACGATTTTAATTTTTCTTTGTGCAAACTAAATGTTAAATTCCTCAAATTTCAAAACGTTAGAAAAAAGTGTTGTTCCATCACTGACACCAATTAACAGTTATAAGTTACGACTACTTCATATTTCCATATCATTATGTCAGTCAAATGGGTAACTTTATCTTTATGGAATACTATAGACAAACGAGTTTCGCGCTTAAGTCTTTCGTTTGCTCCACTTTGCAGCGGTGACACTTCGCTCATCCTTTCATGGCTATGACAAATTGCTCTAACGTGCTGCTGATCAACTGTCGCCGCCTCACGGTCACCACGCAACTCAATTGTGGCACGCAAATGCGGCCACACACACACGCACTCAGCACGAAAATAGGCCAACAACAATTTTAACCTAATATTCTACAAATGAAATGGACATAAAAAGTAGCTCCGACCACACAGACACACATACTTCGGAGAAAACTGGGCAATTAAAAGCAATGAAAACTGTTGTTGGTGTTGTTACTAAGTTGTCACATGGATCTTAATGCCTATTGGCGGCTGGCCAATGCGCTGTGCCCGCCAGCAGCACCGTCAGTCGACGGCAATCGACAGCTGAATTGAAACAGAACAAATGCAAATGTTGCCAAACGGACGTGACAGTGCGGCACAGCGGAAGTATGAGGCTAAGCCATTGCCACCAGCATTCGAACTGTGCCTAGCGCTCAGCGCCGCCACTGCCACTTTCGTTCGAAACGTGCTCGACATTATCCTGTTCGGCGCCAAAGACGCAGCTGCTCTTCGAGATGTAAATGTTGCTGCTCTGCCGCTGCGACCGCGTCGTTCGAAGATTCATTTGTGGTTGCTGCTTTGCGGCTAGCGGGTAGCGTTCACCGGCTGGTGGCCAATGGCTTTGGCTGCGGCGGCTGGGACGCAATGAGAGGTGCTCGTAAAATGAAAAGGCATCGTAATAAAAACCGAAAAGCAACCAACAGACACGATTTTTCATCAGAATGAAAACAACAGCGGACGGACAAGCCGACGCGAACAGCCGGGCAAGTGGCCAAGCGTGCAAGGAAAGGCACAGAGCGAATGCAAAAACTTAAATGCAAGAACAAATGCAGAAATGGACGATGTTTGCTTGTTGCAACAACGTGAGTGGCATACAAGCAACTTCAGAGAACAGCCGCAGCCATGCGTTACAGCGGGCGGCAAGGCGTATGAGGGGCTGGTGCTCCGAAGTGCACCGGACCGCACAGGTTTTTGCCACATAAATATGCAAATCGCCTGGGCAGATTAGCTAGAATGGCTTGGCTGGTGTTGCATGTGGTGACAGTGTAATCATGACGGTAGCCATGTGTGTGTGTCGAAGTTTAAAAAAGAAGTGCAAACATGGCAATTTAAACTGCGTTACATGTGATTGTGCTTACCACCAAACGCCGTCGTTGCAGACACAATGCTTACTATGCAGTTTGCCGCGCAGAAAATATATATGTGTATGGTAAATATTTATCTAAAGCTTCAGTAAATACTTATTTATGATAATTTGCTAAAGAAAACAAAATAAATTATTAGCTTTTCTCTGTGCGCTGATGCTAATTCAAATGTTCTTGTGGATTTTGTGGCTTCAGAAATGTGCAGGTGGCCGGCCAATGGTTTTAGAGTGTTGTCGATGCCTCGGAGTTTTTGGCTGCTCTAACGGACAATATTTATTGCTTTTTTCAAGACCAGTGCATATCAACTCAAAAAGAGTGCTACATTTTCATCAACCCAACTACTTGCTCGGATTAAGGAGCCTGCAAAAAGGCACAAAAAATGTCTCCAAGCAATTACTCTGCTCACAATGCTCTGTCGTTATGAAACATATATTAGAATAAGTTTTCTCAAAAACTTTCTGGGGATATGATTATTATTACCTTTGTTTCTATGAACCTTAAATTTAATTGCTGATAATCTTTTCTTCCCGGAAAATTACAACAAAAATATTAATCTTTGTACTCAAGTATATGAAATATTATTTTGTGAGGTAAGAAGATTGAGTTCATTAGGAAAAGAAACAAAAAGTATAACAAATACACTTATTAACCGTTATTACGATCAAATATTACAAACATATTTCTTGCACATTTCAAAGCAGCATTTCCGAAAGTAGTGTAATTTCGCATACAAACTCCTAAATGGCACTTTTACGAGTGTGTGAGTGCATGCGTGCTCACACGAGCATTCATACACATACAAATATGTTTAGAATTTACCTCAGCACTCGCAAGTACACGCGCTCGTAGCCTTCCAACTGTGAATTGGTTGTTGTTGTCGTTATGCGTCTCACAAAGTGTCAGCGACATTGTAAATGAAACCGTTAACTCGCCAGCAACAAGGTAATCCAACGGATGATGACAAGGCTTTGCATTTATTTTTTGTTCCTATTTAGATTTCTTACGACCATTCCGTTGTTGTTGTTGCCCACAGCCTGCGCCGACATTATATTATATTATATAATGCCCGCTGTTGCTGTTGTCGCACTTTTGCCGCACAACAAACGGTGATGACTACGGGAAAATAGGTAACGAGCCACACGAGAATAAAAATAAAAACAAACACACCGAAACAATTCAGAGGAAACGACGATCAACAATATTTTATTCACAACAACAACAACTCTACTTAATATACAGCCAAACCACAACCAACCGTCAAGCAGCTGCCGGCCATCGGCGAAGCGCTACGCAGCGGAAATTCATATGCAGGCTAACAAAGATGCGCGTAAAGCGAACGACCGTTGAATAGTGGATTCTGCGCAGACGCAACAGCGCACATAGTCGCATGAACAACGCAAGACTCGTCTCGAAATAGACGAAGATATATGGCGGGAAGCAATGAAAGCAATAAAAAAAGTGCTGCAGCCAACAGAAAATGTTGCATCAGCGCAAAAAATATAAATAAATGTTGAAGGAAAAACGCCGCATTGCAGCTGAGACATTGTATTGTGCCACACATACACACATCTATCAACCGCTTGCGGTTTTGCCACAGTTGCGCTCATAGTCCACAAGGAAAGCAGCCTACGCGCATAAAGTTCTTAGCTGTGGCAAGAAAGAGGTGGCAGCAACAAAATACTGAAGCATCACAGCAACAACGCCCCTTCGGCGAGTGGAAAATGTTGCTGTCATATTGCACGGAACATTATCAGGTACTCGGTTGACTGCGTTCACGGCTGTTGCTTACAGAGCTCTTGCAGCTGTGCCATCACCGGCGGCGCATGCGCGTGCCAATTCCCTGCTCGACTGCAGCCCCCAGCGCCGCGGCCGCGCACTCTCCAGCAGCGTCGTTGGCGCAAAGGCGCACTTAAAGGGAAATAAGGAAGCAGTTTTCACCGCGGCGGCCGCTAAAGCCAATTTATGGCAACACCAGTTGATTGTCGGTTGCCGTCGCGGCCATTCATTTGCTCTGCGCCGCCATAGTCGCGATAGCAGAAACGATGCAAGCAAAAGCGATCACCAACATAAAATGTAAATTGGCTGCGATGCGGGCCATAAGCCGCTTTATCTTTGTGGAGCAATTTATACTCTAATTTATGCTTTTTTGCCATTTTACGAGCATAATGTTTTTGTTGTAGGACAATGGACGTTGCAAATATCGCTGACTTTAATTAACCTGGAATTACTTCTAACGTTTTTTTTGGAATTTTCCTACCGCGGCCACAGATAAACTGTACTTCACCTTGCGTTGCTGCACGTTCATAAATTGTAAAAAAAAGTCGGCAATAACAAAAACAACTAATAATTTACACATTTTCCAGCTTTTATACCTTTCCTCCGCAATTTGTTGCTGTTGCACTTTTTATATGCGTTGTGTTGCACATTAATACAACCGCACACGCACGCGCACACTCGCAGACGCAGGCGCATGCACGAATAAAAGTTTAGCACTTCTAAGCAAACCGCAAACTCATCGAGGCCTTCAACTGCCTTACAATGCACTGTTCTTCGCTGCACTATCGTTTTTGTTATTGCGTCAGTGGCTCTTCTTGCCACCATACAAACTTTAAAACTAACAAAAAAAGAACAACTTTTTCACTCAGCACAACCGCAAAACTTTTTACTGCAAACCTTTTAGATTCTTGGCACAAAACTCGGGCTACGATGGAGACGATCTTAACGCGACGCGTGCATATTCACAACTGAGGCGCAGCGCTTCCGTAGACCAAGCTTTAAAGACGTGTTCAAAAGAAGAAAGTCTGCCTGAACGCTGGCGCTGCCGTCCCAGCCAATGCTGCTGACAACTACGATGTTCTGTTGGCCACAATTCATTCTTTTCCGGCGCCAACGAACGAAGAGAATCGAGCGCAGCCAACAAAAATGATTTCATAAGGTTTGAAGAGAAAAGTTTAAAGAGAAATGGCAGACGAAGGTCTGGCTGCTTGGAAAAGTGAGTGCTTTGGCAGTGAGAGAATGTTTTGTGACAGGCAAATTGAGATCGAAGTTAACAGAATTAAAGTTTGACAATTTGACTACAAGTATAAGATCTTTATGACGCTTATGTAGAATTAGTAATTCCAAAAAGTAACAATGATAGGTGCTGTAATTGCTGTTAAGTTCAGAGCATTTACAGCAGTATCGTTCTTATTTTACCAATTAAAGCTGCTATATACTTGTACTAATACGCGTACGCTCTGAAACCCTCATTAAATGAGTAACTTAAGAACTGTACTCTCCGGCATGTTAATGTGCCCGATCAATTTGTCCAAATGACTACATGAACTTCCGCCTCTTCGTTGAGCATGCAATACCAAACAGACTAAGCAACTGAAGTCAAATCTGTGTGTGTGTCTGTATTGCCTGAAGATATCATGTGAAGAAGAAGAATTGAAGGATACAGCACTTGTCTACTTGCAAACACACAGACTCACATTTCCGCAAGTTTTTATTGAGTTACCAGACATAAATACGGCTTTATGAGCACCGACCGTCTGATCGATTCGGATCTGCGATTTGAATTAGAAAACGAATGTGTATAAAAAAAGAATTTCAGGTATCAAGAAGTGAATTTCGTTTTGCGTTTGCAAGCAACTCCGAGCTTCTGCAAAGTCTAGAAGCCTTGCGGGTTTCAAGAGAAACTGTCTTCTGGTAACCTGAAGTCGCAAGATGCAACACAAGCATATCATCTGCGAAATTGATCAATCTGTAAGCGGCAAATAAAGGGCGACAAACGGGAAGTGGGCAGAAAGATGAAAACCGCAACGGAAGCACGAATCCGTAAATTCTTGTAGGAAGGTGCAGCAGACAATGTTCTTTGCACGCATGGCTGGTCGTCTGGCCGTCTGGCTAGCTGACTGGTTGACTGCTTAAGTGTCAACACTCACATACAAGCATGGTGACTAAGCGATGGCCAACTGGTGAACTAACTAAATGGACAAAGTCTTAAATCGAACTGCACACAGGCACACATATGTATAGGCAAGCTGCAGGCTGGTAATCGTTTGTTCACGCGATGCATTCGCCGATATAACAAATTTATACGAACATACAATCACACATATACCGAACCGACTGCAGCATTGCGCTTACCACTTGTCTCGTTTTGTTTATGAACTGCCGCTGTGTTCATATGTGAGCTTCACGTATGTACATGCGAAATTACATACATAGACATTGCAAAGGCATTGAATGGAGGACTGGTCGGCCGGTCTGGCGGCTCGCCTCCACGAGGGCGATTTATTCTCTGTGATATTGAAAATTTATCACCATTAAAAACAGATTGCCTTGCACACCAGTCAGAACGACGAGCTGCCGTACAGAAGGACAAAGAAAGTGTTAGCAGAATATTCGCAACTCTGACAAGAACTTCGAAGATTTCGGCTCACCACATGAAACTGCTTTTGGCCAGATATGCACACTGTGCGCATGCGGCGAGGCTCCCGGTGGGTGCCTCTGGTAGCTTTTCAGGCAGGTTGTCTTTACATACTTACACACAGCCATAAATACAAACACACAGACAGGTGAAGTAGGCTTGCAAGCGATTTCCAATTAGCAATTGCCAATGTGGTGCAGGTAATTTGATAAGTGGATTAATTTGAGTTCGCCGCTGTCAAAATCAATCACATCAAATTATGAATTGGACGTTGACGGCGTTTGCGCAGCAAATTGTTGGCAATTGTGAAGAGCAGAACTTGCAATTCCCGTTTAAAAAAGAAAGAATGTGAAAACTTAAAGAGTAGAAGTGACTGATAAAAGAGAAAAACTTAATTCAAAGTAAATACTTTGTTGATGAGGACACAATTTTTTTGATTTATTACCTTCTGTAAGGAGAGTAATCAGTTTAACTTGTGCCTGCTCCGTTTAGTACTATACTGCTCACTAATAATAGTCAGAATCTTATATTAATTACACTTAAGTTAATAATTATAGTAAATAGTACATTATTAATACACGAATAAAGTATTCTATACACATTTTTCAAATAAATACTCTTCGACACACAATCATAATTGCAAGCTGATGGCGACGTCAATAACCCGCATCGTTGTTATTTCCCTCAATAACTTTGTAAACGACAGTTGTGTCATTAAACCCATCAAATCTGATCAACACTGATGAATTGGCAGAAAGTGTCACAATCGATATTTGATGAGAATTAGTTGGAAGAAGAATAGAGAAATAGTAATAAAATGTCGATCATTTGTTGATAGATAAAATAATTTTAAGAAACCAAGCGGAAGGGCGTGCTTGTTGAAATTTTTGCATAAATTGATGATATGAAGCAGAGTCAGGTCAGAGATGTCAGAGTGTCAGATCAACAACAATTTGGTATATTTTCAATCAACTGGATCTTCTAAAAACAGTGTTTTTATCTTTGAAGGCTGACTAAGCGTTGGCTTTCCTCAGGGTAGTGGCGATATCTAAACTTTATTTTGTGTAAACTAGGCCAATAATGGGTGCAAGATGAGTTGGGTTGGTGGGCATAAAAAGTGGTGGCCAGTGTGCGGGCACTCCTTATGCTCCTTGACTTGGGTCCTGAACACATTCAAGCAGATGAAGTTTAGTTATCTCCGTGAGACGTTGATTGTTTTGTACACTCAGAAAACAGTTCTCATTTGTATTCTTGTCACCAATAAATATATTTGTATACAATTTATTTTAGTCAGCAGTATTAAAAACTGTAAAAGGCTCTAGTAATTTACAATGGATACTTGTATCTCTCAACACGGCCATCATGTTTTGATTGTCAGCTATAAACTATATAATACCATCGCACTTCGCTCAGATCGCACCACGGTAACTATCCATTTCGTCTGGACAGACAAATTACTGTAGGTCTGTATTTTACCTGCTAGCAGCTGCTAGCTATCAGAGAGTAGAAAATTGATAGTAACTGTCAAAGAGCGAAATAATGATGAAGTAAAGAACCGGAAAACCAGCAGAAACTAGCAAAAAAAATATCAAAATATTGGTTTTTACAGACACTTCATACAAACACTTGAAAGTCAATGATTTTGAAATTTTTATTCTTTCAATTCAAAACAAACAAAATCAAAGAAAATGCGTCAAATGTCGCTTGTATACAATTGTGGTTTAACAGCTGTTACGAAGTAGCTATTTTCCGTTAGTAGAAATTTTACTAACGGAAACTAGCAACTCTCACAGCTTTTTACGCTTTCAACTTGTGCTCTCTTCTGCTAATATCTGCTGGCTTTTAGGGTTAAGAAACGCTTTTCCAGCTGAAACTTTGCTAGCAAGTGATAGTTACCAGTAAAGAGACAAGCCTATTGTTTACAACGTACAGCAATAAACAATTAAAACTTATTTGACTCGTAAGTGAGAACAGCTGTTTGGATTTTTGTTATCAGCTGATTTAACTTAGCGCGACATCTAGCGATCAGTAGCAACACAGGCTACCGCACATTAACCAAATATAAATGTAAATGTAACCAAGATGTGGAATTATTTAAATAATTTAAATGATTATCAAGGATAATAATATTATCTGGAATAATATTCCAGCGCTGCAGAATAAATTATTTTATTGAGGAGCAGGAATAATGAAATTTTTTTTTACTGAATATCATATATATTTTAATGCAATTAATATTACTTAATAACAAGAGCTCACAAATAAATATTGCCTGTGGAGGTAAGAGTTATTTAAAAATAATAAGAAACTAAGAATATAAAGTGAAGACGCGAACCACGGAGTCTATGACAAGTTAGTAAGATTAAATTTAATACATATGTACTTACATATATAAAGACCATTTTCAATATTCTATAAACACAGCTAGATTTCTATTTGATCCGCTTTTTGCTTATAATGTGCAAACTCTATTGCCTGTAAACTACTGACCAAAAAGCAAAACCGGTAGGATATGATTTGAAATAAAGCTCTATTGGAGCATCGTTTCTCCAACACGGAGATACAAAATCGGGATCACCTGCTCTTTAATGACGTTACCCTGTTAAAAAAAGGGATTAAAGCCATCGGGTCCTCAAATCCGAGCAGGAGTGCACGACCTTATTAAATTTATTAGAGAACTGGACGAAACTCTGTGCATGTTGTTGTTGTTGTAGCGACAGAAAGCATTCCTAAAATAAAATTGAAGAATGAACTGACAGGGTCCGTTCCGCTTACGTTCACCCGACTGTCGAGGGAATTTTGTGCACTAAAGAGGACAGTAGACTACAGGTCGCAATATAAATTTCTTTAATATATTTGAATAAATTTTAATGTAACAACAACAACATACATCTGCCTTTCATAATTTTATTTTTACTTTGGTTCTCACTTAACATAAAACAATTAAAACATTAAGTTGTGATTTCTCATTCTATTTTATTTTCTCCATAAACACTAAGTTTAAACATGAAACAAATGACAATTTGCATCCTAACACAGAGCAGAGGGAGCTGCATGCGTCCGCAATGAGATTGCTAACAATTTAAGAGAGAGCTACACCAACATTTAGCATCAGGCGAAACTATTCCGCATGAAAAGTTGTCCGAGCTGCGATAAAAGCAATTCATGAACTCTGCTGCTGTTCCCGAGGGCGTAGACTAACAGCAACAACTTTCTAACTTTTTATAAAACAACAAACAGGCAAGCGCCTGCAGCGGCAGTGGCAAAATAGCAACAAAATTATATTTTCTTACTCACCGCAAGCCCAGCGGTGGCCACCATCGTCATGGTAAATATGTA